CAAGAAGCAGCCGTTAAAGCTGCAAAGGAAAAAGAAGAGGCAGAACTCAAAGCTCAAAAGGAGAAACATGAAGCAGAAGTCAAAGCTAGAAAGGAGAAGGAAGATGCAGATCTTAAAGATAAAGAACAGAAAGAAGCGTTGCGAGTTAAATCTAGAAAAGAAACAAAAGAGGCAGTTCTTAAATCGCAAGAGAAAGAGCAAGATGCAGAAGTTAAAGCTGCAAAGGAGAAAGAAGAGACAGATCTCAAAGCTCAAAAGGAGAAACATGAAGCAGAAGTCAAAGTTAGAAAGGAACAGGAAGATGTGGATCGTAAAGCTGATGAAGAGAAAGAAGCGGCGCGAGGTAAAGCTAGAAAAGAAAAAGACGTAGCCGATCTTAAAGCTGAAAAGGCAGAGGCAGAGGCGAAAGCCAAAACTATAAAAGAGAAGGAAGACGCGGATCTTAAAGCGGAAAAGCAAAAGAAAGAAGAAAAAGCTAAAGCCAAAAAGTTGAAAGATGAAGCGCAAGCTAAAGCAAGAAAGGAGAAAGAACAGGCTGATTATATTAAAGATAAAAAAGAAAAAGAGGAAGGGGAAGCTAAATCTAAGCCCGAGAGAGGTGCGGAATGTGAAACTGAAAAAGAAAAGGGTGAGACTGATATTGAAACAGTAAATGAGGAAAAGGAGGTCAAAGCTGAAACAATAAAGGACAGAGATGCGAATAGTAAATCACCAAAGGCGAAGGCTGAAACTGCGGACAAAAACGTGGAAGACGAGAAATCAATAAGGCATAGTCAAGAAGACATTAAAAAGGAAAAACGAATCTCTGTCAAGTCGAAAAAAGAAAAAGAGACATCTCCAAAAACTGATAAAGGATATGATGATACTAATGATGACGTGAAGAAACGGGATATCAAATCAAGGGTTAAAAATGATAAAGAAGCGTCGGAAAAAACTGACCGAGAAAAATCTTCTGATCCAGGTATTATACTTGTCTTAAGTGTCCTTTTTGTGTTATAGCGAGTACTATTTTCTAGAAGGTCCAGCTAATATTCCAGAATACAAACTAGATGTGCATGTAGATACAACAATATATGATCAAAGCCAACGCAATGAAGATGGGCGCGAATTAGTAGGCTTCCAAGGGAAAGATACTTTCGAGGCAGACGAAGATCTTTTCAAACCGACCACTTACCACGGTCCAAGATATAGCGGTACGTTTTTCACGCTTTTTCATGTTCAGTTTTAAACAAAAATCGGTTTTAGGCAAGAAACCTATTTTTACAACGTCTTTGTCGGACCGAACCAGTGTATCCAATACTCGGGTGAAAATGACTTGCAGCGTAATTAGCGAAAGCGGAATGGTCTTAACATGGCTGAAAGACGGAGAGAACATTGAAGGAAAACCGAACTACTATCAAGGTAACTTCAGTTTGAATCACTCCGAATTGTTGGTTGTATAGGGAGTTTTGCAGCTTTCGAAAACAATGTTGCTACTCTGGAAATTCTAAACTCCACGCGGAGTGACGGTGGTACCTACACGTGCGTTGCACGGAATGAACACGGTTCCAGCTCTACATCAGCGCTGTTGACTGTTAAGGAGACCTTTGATTCAGTTCCGGTTACCCCAACCTTTACCAGAGCTATTAGGGAACAGTACAAGGCATCCAATGATGAGGCCACATTGGAATGTCGCATTAGGTAGGATAGGAAAACGAGAAAAATTGAGATATTTATGCAACTGTAAGGATACTAATCTTTTTTGGGATTTGAAACGCTTTGAAAAGTAGATTTGATGAAAAGTAAACGACGAGAGGTAAGCCTTTTAACGCCTGTTAAGATCTTAGCTTACCTCATGTTAAGCACAAGTGTAGCACATGGCAGTTTGTTATGAGCATTTGTTTCATTAGCTCTTAATCACCTCTTTCCAGATGCCATCCGACTCCAACAATAAAATGGTACAAGGACGACTCGGAGCTGGATTTCGGAGTAAAATATCATCAAGCTTACCTCGCTGATGGCGTCGCTAGACTTTCAATACCTTCTCCAAGCAAAGCTGATAGCGGCAGATACACCTGCAAAGCAGAAAGCGGCGACTGGTTTGATCAAGTTTCTTATGACTTCAGCTTCACCTCCAAGGAGGATTATATACGACAGAAAATTAAGGAAAGAACGTCCCAAAAGGACATCAGCAGTACCAGGTAAGCATTATTGCTCCATTAGCTTACAGGACTTTCAAGGAGATTGTCTAGGTATCCCACACCGTCTGCATCTTCTTCTGCTTTAAGTGCATCGAGTTATTCCACTGCAAGGAGGCCGCATTTTTCAGGAGTTTTGACGGATGCGGCTGTTCCCTATGGAGGATTCATGGCTTTGCAGGTAAGGACAATTACAACGAAATCAATCCTCGGTTTTTAACTGAAATGAACAAATCAGAAAATTCGGATTTTTTAAGTATTTGTTGGGGTTTCACTGCGTCCTAGGCGATCTTCGATACGAAATTTTAGAAATCCACTGAACTTCACTATCTTATAGTCCCATTAACTCGTAAAAATCTAAGTTTTTCACAGTCTTGGAAGATAAACCGAGGCTCGCGTGGGCAGGGGTGCGTCCCTGAAGTAGAGCTATCATCTATTGGGAATATGGATGAGTATCTACTCGCTACCCCTTATTAGAAGAGGATCAACGAGGAAAATAGAAAATAGGAATATCAATAACTTGGAAAATATAAAATTTTGTAAATTTCCCGGTCATTTATGAAGGAAGGCTTGCTGAAATGAAGGCGGTTAGAATGATAGGAAATATGGCAAAATACCAAGGACCCGCACAATGGCGACCTAAATATCAAACTTCCATAATTAAGCAGAAAAGCCTGGAAGCAAAATAATATAATTTGTATGAAGTATTTGCCCAGTAGCTGCTGATAGAGGGCTTGGGACTGGATTTAAACTAATTTTGTTGTCGTAAACTCTGGCAGCAATTTCGACCTTTTATGCCGGTTTTTAAAAGGGCAATAGGCTAAAAGGTCGGCTTGAAGAAAGGGTCAAAGCGTCTTCCACTTTAAAAAAAATTAAGTCAATTTTAGCCAGATAGACAATGTTGACCGCAAACACGCCAATAAGAATTATTTTTTCTTTTGTGGGCTTTTTACATTTTTTCGGTACTTTTCTTTTTGACGAATCCTCACGTAAATTAAACCGACGTTGCTTTATCACCTCACTTCTGAAAACATAAGCATTCCTCATTCCCGAAACTGTACCAGGTGAAAACGCAGTGTCTCTCCTGCAATAAATCCGCAATCTAATCATAAATAAAATAATTCAACATAATGAAGAATATCCGTTTTAAAACATCTCATTTTCCCCTAAAATACATAATTTCTTATTGGCAATTTCAGGTGGAAGTTAGAGGATCACCCGCTGAAGTTGCTTGGTATAGAGAGAGCCAAAGACTCTCCAAATCTTCTCCCAGGCACCGAACATTCGTGGAAAGAGACGTGCATACCCTATTAATACCCAACATCAACGAGTACGAAGCCGGAAAATACACCTGCAGGTAGGCGCTTCAACTCTTCCCGTTCTAAAGACTTCATTTTGCGTATTTTTCAGAGCTATTAACATGCAAGGAAAATGCGAAACTTCTGCCTATGTACGAGTGATTCAACCTTCCCATGTTCGGGATGGAAAGCCAGCGATGTTCCTGTCCAGACCCGACAAGTACATGCGAGTTACTGAAGGAGAAGATATATCGGTTTCCTTCCGAGTAGCTGGCGATCCTAAACCGAAAGGTACATCACAAGTCTTAAAAGTAACTTTGTCTATAGCTAAAAGGTTCCAGTTACGTGGATGAAAGGCCTCACGGATATCACCGATAGCATGCGCTCGATGAGGTGGACCTCAGATGATTACACCCGATTAACGCTCAAAAGGGCCACTTTAGATGATTGGGGGACTTACTGTATAATGGCAAAGAACCGACATGGGTGCGATAGAGCCTTTTTCACAGTACGACTGAGGGAAAGGGCCAGATCGCTCACTCCCAACAGAGAGCCCATTCAGAATATTTTGGACGATATTCCGTCCTACAAAGAGCGCCTGTATCGAAAAGGTATTGAGGTGGTTTAAGAATGTTCGGTTTGCTTCAGCTAGTTTTGTCAAATTTAGCTGTCCCAAGTCCAATACCCGCCGAGCCTGTGGTGAAAGACTCGGGCAGAAATTGGGTATCGTTGTCCTGGGACAAACCAGACCAAACTAGCATAGCTCCTGTTTTGGCGTACCGCGTGGATATGTGGCATAAGGGAAGCGATGGAGGCGCGCAGTGGACTACTTTGGGAGTGAGCAGCTTAACTAGCTTTGATGCTTTCAACCTGCTCACTGGAGGAGAGTATCAGTTTAGAGTTACGCCGAGAAACCGGTAAGCATAAGCATATCTAAAGGACAGAAGCGTATTGCCTATATTGGAGCTTTTCCTGATGTTTATGCTTAAATCAAAAGTTCTGCACTTAAAAAGTTTGGGTCTGTTTAAATTTGGCTTCTTCGGATTGGGATTATTTCTCTTAAAAGTTGTGAAACTTTTAAGTTTTATTTCAGAACCTTCCGAATTGTTTGCTTAATTTCGTTTTTTATTAATTAGACAAAATTTCCGCTCAATTATAATAAAGGGGAACTTGTTCGGAGTTGATTAAACTCTATTGCAACTGACTAAACTTCGTTTTCAGGTATGGCTGGGGCGAAAGCGTGGTCAGTTCACCATTCACAGTAGGGAAACCTGAGGAAATGCCGGAATTCATCAAAATCCTTCCAGGACAAATGAAAGTTCTAGTGGGATCCGACATTTCCCTGGAATGCGAGGTAAATTTCTTACTTCTTCAGTAATGTTAATAACAAAAAAATCCAGTAAAAATCAGCTTTTGCCAAAAGTCAATTTGTTTTCGGGCAAAATGACGCACTTCTAGGTGAATTCTAAGTTTAGTAGAAAAAAACCGAGCATCGAACGTGATAATCACGTGGAAACGTCGAAAAGTACGTGAGACTTTGCAAGTCCAGCACGTCATTGTGACGAAATTACCACGGCAAATTTGCAATTCGTCATCAAATCAAAAGGGCATCATACGGCTGAAACACATTATTCTAAACGAAATTGAACAGAAAATATTGCAAAAAATGCAAACGCATAACTGTAAACGTCGAATCGAAAAAAACGTATTTTTGGAAACAGGGTTAGTTTAAATTTACAAGTTTTAGCGTCACTGAAGGCTTAACATTTCGCCAATTTCGAAATAATTTAAATTATATCTACCTAAAATGTATACAAGTTTGTGGTTTTCGTTGATGCTGCGAATATAACTACTAATATTGTTTCTTTCCTAAGTTTCAGTCAAAATGTGAAATAAAAATGTTTATATCGTTTATTTCTTATTTTTACGTTTCGACGAGACAACAGCGCCATCATCAGATTTAAAATTCAAAACAAACTGCAAACACCAATTTACAATCAATGATATTGTAACTATCATAAATACAAATATGTTGTACAAAAACTATAATTTATAAAGCATTGAAACATCCATTAGTTCTTAAGGGAAAAAATTATTTGGGAGTCGTTAACTCTCCGATATGATCATGTTTGTTTCACATTTTGACTAAAGCCCAGTAACGCAAAAATATAATAACAATTACACGCAGTCAGGAAAATAAATAAAAACAATATAACTACAAAGAAGTATAAAATTTAAACTCATAGAAAATGTGGAAAAATTGAATGAGAAACTAGAAAAAAATTGCTTAGCGAAGTTGATAGAATCGGTTTTTAACTTTCCATTAAAAAACTAAGGGTATCACCATGATTTGCTATAAAAGAAAAAAATGTTTATCGATTTTTCGAGAATTTTTGCAAATTTAGCACGCAACACTCAAAACGTTTACATTTTAAAATATCAATTTTGACTGCTTAAAATATTGGGTTTTTCTCTTAGGTTACAGGTGAGCCTTCCCCAAAAATCCGCTGGCTCAAAGATGCGGTCGAAATATTCCCTGAAGAAAACGATCGCTACATCAGCTCCAGCAAATCTGGACTTTGTTGCCTGACCATCAGAAATGTTCAAGAAGAGGACACTGGCCGGTTCATGTGTGAAGCAGTTAACAAGGCTGGACGCGTGTCCACATTTGCCCGACTATGTATAGTTCGCGACTCCAAAGTTCTATTAGCCGACCGGAACCTGAAGCTGTAAGGCTTCCCGTTTAGGTTCCAGCTACTGAATTAACTAAAGCGAACATTTCAGATTCCTCAAAGACTTTGACAACACCAAGGACCATCCGCCACATTTTACAATGCGTCTGAGGGACCGGCGGGTGCAAATGACTTATCCGGTGCGATTGACTTGCCAGGTGGCTGGATGTCCGGAACCAGAAGTTAAATGGTTCAAAGATGGCCAGCCAATACTGCCCAACAGTGAGTATTTTTCTATTAGAAATTCGCATCGTTTGCGACTCGATATTTGTGACTCCGGGGCTCTTCGAGTAGGTAAAAAGAGGATTTATTTGTGATAATCCGTAGACCCAGCATAAAACAATTATTTTAACACGTGAAATTTTGCTTGAGTGAGAATTCAAGGCCGTTGTTTTTTTCTTCAAATATGAATACTCGGGGGGGAAAACCATACATAACCAGTTTTTGCCAAAATTGAACCAATCAGGCCTCTGAAAGAAGTATTCATGTTCATTTCTGACGACTATGCTCCATATTGAAAAACAAATAGGAAAAGACCTCTGAAGGAGAAGAAAAGACACAACTGATTCAAGACCTTAAACATAAACTGATGGAGACAGAACTTCATTTAAGGAAAGGCCAAAAATTTTACTTTCTCGAGAAGAAATTCCGGATAGTCGCTGCGAAACTCATCTTGTCAAGTACAAGCTAAACATTTTGCTTACAAGTTTTTGGTTTAATTAGAACCGTTTTAGTTTTAGTAAGTTGATTAAACTAAAGCTTCAATTTTCTCAAAAGTAAGTCGGATAGACTTGTATGATCTTTCCCTTCGGGTCTTCATATATTCCACAACATGCAAGTCGAAAGTTTCAACTGATCACTAGAGTTCTTAAACGTTTACAGCAATATAAGGAAAATAGCCCTGACAACAGCGTGAGTAAAAATTGGAAAAGTCGTCCAGTTTCAGAAAATAAAAGGCGCTTTAATCCAGAAAAACAACGTTTTTAAGAACGTAAACACGCCAATAGGAATTCCTTTATATTTCTTTCGTTTTTACATTAACGTCAATACTTTTCTTTAAAGAATTTTCAATTAAGTTAAAGCGCCATTCCTTTTCTGCCTCGCCTCTCAAAATATAATCATTATTACAATTCTCTACATTCTCTCTTCTAGTTACAACTTTCCAAATTCGTCAGGATCTTCTCCTGACTTGCTCCTAGTTCTTTTTGCATGAATTTTTTGAAAACGGCATATTTTAATAACACAACAATTGCTTGAAACCCTCAGGTCGACTGACCTTCTCTTCAGAAGACTCTTTCCACACGTTGGAGATCGACAAAGCCACTCTGGAAGATTCCGGAGTTTACTCCATATCGGTTGCCAACAAGTTTGGATCGGTAGCCTGCAAGAGCCACTTAGTGGTGGATAAAGGCATTAAGGCCTATATAACACCTCAGTTTAGTACGCAACTGGAACCCTCCCAGTGCCGAGCTAAAGAAGGAGGAGAGTTGCGACTCTCTGCCCGCGTCGAAGCTTATCCAAGCGTGGGAGTCATGTGGTACAAAGACGGGGTAAATACATCCCCGATATGGAAACTGGTCAAAAATAACAGTTAATGGGTCTCCAGGTGCGTTTGAGGCCTTCGAGGCATTCAGTGATGACTCTTTCATATGATGGTCGGGTGGAACTGGCCATTGGTAGAGTCACTCTGAAAGACAAAGGAACCTACTCGTGCGTTGCAACCAATATCGTTGGCAGAAGTGAGACTTCAGCGACTGTAGACGTGGAGGAAAGTGATGGAGTTCTGAAAAATATCGCAGAAGAGCATCACGATGCTCCGTAAGTTATTTTTCGCAATTACGCGAAATGGGAGTAATTGATGGTGCTGTTGAAGGTGCTCCAAAGAGCCTAAGTTCCTGAAGAAGCCCCTCAACACTGAGGCCTACGAAGGCGATAACGTGACGATTCTATGTGAGGTGATCGGCGACCCCAAGCCTGAAGTGGTCTGGCTGCGAGATTTTCTTAAGGTAAGTGATTCCGAAAACCCTTTTGTGAAAAGCTAAGTAGAACCAAGCAACAGCGCCTTGAAAGCTTCTTGCACACTTTTACCTCGATCGGCGTTTGAATGATTTAATCATCTACATATCAAGAAAGGTCAGTTATGCAACGATTTTATCGGTCAGTAAGTTCAAAAAAAGCGTCGTTTGATTGGCGTTAGCAAATCTGACTAATAATAATCGTTCAACGCGATATTGATGATTTATGATTGAGAACGTGTTATATTTTCTTTGCCTGTCTAATATGTTTTATGATAATTTGATGCTAATAAATAAATGGCCATTACGTAGGCTGCGAGCGCTAATTCATTGAAAGAAAGCCAATTTATCGGCAATGACATGTTAATGAGCGCCAATTAAATCAGAGAGCAATTATATACCAGGCAACACAGTCGAATATTTTCCTGGAAGGGGTTTCTGCAATCAGCTTTTTCTTGTTGATGGACAGTGACAACGGAATAAACATTTTATTATTATTATTATTATGGTTATCATCATTATAAAGCGAACAATATCATACAGGGCATTTCGAACAAATATGTGCATGGAAATAAGACACTTTTTATATATCTTGGTGTTTACCGTTGCATGAAGCAAATGCACTTCTTTTCATTCATGAGCCTACGCATGCTTAGAGTATGCAAATAAATCCATGTCTTTATTACATGCAAAATCCATGTAACATTTGTAAGTATCATGTAATGGATATGCAAATATGAACAACAGTGACAATGTCTAATGCGTTTAAGTCCGTTCAGCCACCCAGTGAGAGAGCCGACAGTAATAATTATTATGGTATTTCACAATAAAAGTTCCTGTCCAAGGTTGCAACTTATTAAATGCGTCTGAAATTGCAGCCGAATCTAGTATGCAATAATTTACTAAACGAGAACCTCATTTCATTTTATACATTCCGAAAATATAGACATTAACATGCCATAAACGGACATCGCTTATCTTTAACTGCATCAGCGAATTTCGTTTTTCGCCCATAAACGCGTAAACATATATTAACCAAGTTTTTTCCCCCGTTTTCAGTTGGAAACTGTAAAATTGCAAAAAGTGTGACCCATTGAATTTCTTAATATTGCGACGGGCGCGTTTCCTAAAGTGGCCAATTACAACAGTCGAAAATCGTTTTTCCAACATGCGATGGAAATGAAATATTTGACCGAGAAATCGCATGAATTGTACGCGAAAATAGCGTGGCTAATTTTATAGCTCATGTTGGATCAGAGTGGCTCCAAGGCCTGTTATGTCTCAGGCTGAAAGGCATTTGCTCCCGGTCATTTTCCAAATTAGAAACTTTTATTTTCCCATGGAAATGTTTTCACTGCAGTGCAACTCAGTGACTTGAAATCATACCAGATGGTTTCTCCTCATATTGCATGATAAAGTTGCCCAACTGAATAGTAGAGGATAGACATTCTGAATGAATAGAAGCTGTGAAGCCTTGTATATGTAAAGACTTAAGAATCTAGAATGTTTCTAAGCATTGATGAAATTAGCACGATTATAATGAATGTTGATGAGAAAATGAATGTTTCAGGGCCGTTGTAATATTTTCGACATTGCAGTTACTGAAAAAGAGAGGAGGAAGTTGGTGTGGTGTTCGATACACTCGATAAAATTCAGTGCAAAAACTGTTGAATTAATTCCCATTTTTATCGTTTTCCTTAAAAGGCTTTTTTAATGAATTATAGTTATTACGATTATTAAGTACCTATGTGGCTTAGATATTAAGTAATTCCCTTAAAATAGCAATGTGACTTTCCCTCAAAGAAATAATGAACAATAAAATCCTATAACTTTCATAATATTACTTCGATTTCCAAGCATTTCGAGAATTTTTACACGTAAATTTTTTTTGACGATACCTGCCTGTTCAAAAGCTGCTGGCCAGATTCGATTCAGCAGCTCAAAATACATAAACCTATATGTAGATGGAAAGAAATGAGCGGACAAATTGAGGGACTTTCAAGGTTGCAAGAAAATTATCTGCTTCTTTTCACCAATTTTTCAAGTTTTTTTTCTACGGGGACTTTCTCCCCGGGTGAAAATCTCGTTATAGTCTCTAAAAACTTTGCTCAAAAGGAAATTGGACTTTTAAAGTCGAATTACCAAGTGCCTCAAAGCACCTCATTTGTCATTGATTTTAAGAAAGGAAAATAAGGAAAAAACGTCTCGTAAAACTCGAAAAATTTGTGAAGAAAAGGCAATAAATTGACCTGTAACGACCATAAAAATTCAATTTTATTTTAAATTATAACTTTTTTCATGTGATTTGAACTACTGTAGCTTATTTTTGCCTACGTAGCGATAAAATATAACGGTTTTATAGTAAGTTTAACGGTAAGTTATTCCGATAAAATATAACGGTTTTATTGCTACGTAGGTAAAAATAAGCTACAGTAGCTCAAATCGCACAAAAAAAGTTATAACTTAATATAAAATTGAATTTTTATGGTTGTATTACAGGTTAATTTATTGCCTTTTATTCACAAATTTTTCGAGTTTTCCGAGACGTTTTTTCCTTATTTTCCTTTTTATAAAATCAATGACAAATGAGGTGCTTTGAGGCACGTGATAAATCGACTTTAAAAGTCCAATTTCTTTTTGAGCAGAGTTTTTAGAGACTATAACGAGATTTTAACCCGGAGAGAAAGTTCACGTAGAAAAAAAACTCCAACCTACTGTCCACTGTTATTTAAACTTTATGCATATCTCCATAAATCCTAATGCTTGGAGTTATTTTAAAGAAAACACATTTGTATGTAAAATAAAATTGTGCGATGCGGCCCTTAATTAATCATCCAAATGTGCTCAATTTGAATTCGTTGAATTTGAAATTGACTCAAGTCTGCATTGCTTTTACAGTATTAGTTAAAGAAAATGTATACTTTTAATAATCTTAGGAAGGAGTCTCAACATCACCTTCAAAGTCAACGAAATGTGAAAATGTTACATAAATGAAATATTAAAGTTGAAATGTCGATAAAATCAATCTACAATTTTTAGAGAAGTATGTAAAAAATAGTGAATTATTCTAATATTTCTTTATGAATTTCAATTGAAATGACTCTAATTACTATTTTATAATGCCATGCTTTTATTGCTTTTTAAATTATTCTAATAATATTTTGAAAGTCTTTAGTGTTGCAGCGCATAGGAAAAGAAGTACGCGATTAATGCAACATACTTTCGCATAAATTTGGGTATTTTTTAATGATGTTTGCCAAAATATGTTTTTATATAAAAAGCTCAATCGATACTCTTACTTGACCAGCTTTTTGTCCTTACTTTTTGTTCAATTTTCTCTAAAGCATCTTTCAGAATTCATTTTCGCAACTTTTTTGTCATATTTTAATACAAAATTAAAATACGATCAACTTTTGTAACAAATCTTGCAAACATCGTTAAAACAATGTCCTATATTTCTTGCGGCTTCTTTCTTATTACTTAATAATWTRACTATTTGGTCCAGATTTTGTCTTGTGTGGCGCAAAGAGATATTTGCTCACAACTATCGGCAGGTATAAAAGGAACATTTGGTTATTAAAATTAWTTTTTTATTTAATATCAGTTTAATGTATGTACTTGTAAATTTTCGAACAATTTTTTGAAAAATTGCTCTTTTCATGCATGTTGTACACCGGAAACGAARTGTYGYCAATCWATGATAGTCTRCAACTCTTCAAAAACAGGCTTTCAGACTTTAAACCTYCGTGGAAAATMATTTMTTTCTTACGTTTYGCTCCATCCTCAGAGTGATTTCGCTCGACACCATATACTGAACATCAGTTTCAGTGAAATGCCGGAAAGAAACTATTTTCCARGACAGTCAGAAAGTCCGAAAAAATCACCAGTTTCAAGCAAATAAATGCCTAACTCTTATTTTMTTMTTTAKWATTTATTATCWTTATTTTGTTAWTWTMTTYAGRAATTAAATTATTTAATGTATTTMGGATTAAAGGAAATAGCATATCTTAATYTGTAAATAATAAAAATTAATGGYCAGGATCCATATTYACCGTTTAKCTGTGAATAAAATAAATCTGTACCTGCAAAGAAAAAATAAGCTCTCTTGTCTTTAAACATCGATCTACAAGTCAGCAAATAACTCATTTTTCTACTCGGATATAATAGTTTTATCCCTTACTCCAACTTTAAGACCTGATTTCTTTGCGACATAGAAAACGCTCAGAATCTCTCATCTAGCAGAAAACGAAACAGTTTAGCTTTTATATCAAATTATTAACACGGGCGACCCATTCAGTTGCTCATTTATAGTCAACCTAGAGTTTGGCATTTTCAGTTTGTTCCAATAAATTCCATTTTGTGAGCGAGTTTCATCGCATTGAGCAGTTTTGTTCTGAACAAAAGCACATTGATCAGACTAAAAGGTTTCACAGCTTTCGGTCTTATCCGGCATGGACTATTGGAAGAATTCTTCTTCGTTCTTTCTTTCTCGAAAAAAGTTCAATACACCATAGTTTTATTCGATTATTCCTCTAGAGAATCTCTTCTGTCTTTGGTTGACTTTGGCTGATCTCAGGCAAGTTTGATCGCTTCTGCCGGTTTCGATCTTGATGTGCCTCCAAATGTAACTTGCGTATTATACATTATTTTAGATGCGTTTCGGGCACATTATTTAAATTTAAATACATTATGACATTACAAACGAAGGCGACGATTTAAACATAAAAGTCCATGTCTATTTTCATAGCGCATTATTTCAATTTTTGATTATATTGAAAGCATACGCATTTTTTAGCTTATTTATTGCAAATTTTCCGTTTTAAACAACTTCAAATCAATGACGTCAATTCGCTTTCAACAAAAATCGAGTGCTCTAGCCTATACTTTGACCATTTCAACATTTCAAAAGGCCATAACGTGATTATGGCTGCCTTATAAGGTGCAAACACTATTTCGTCGGACATGCGATCGAGTCGATTCTCCAACCGTTA